CATTAATTGAAGGAATAAATTATCAGAATTTTTCGATAAATTTAAGAACTGTAAATAATTTTAATTTTATAAATTTTTTAAAAAATTACCGGCTTTTATATACATTTATAGCGTTAAGGACTAATTGAACAAGTAATTTTAATTATGTCGTCTCAGTTTAATTTACATTAAGGAAATTTAAGGAATAGTTTTAAACTAATTTAAGTATTAAATTCAGAAATTTAAGCACCGCTTTAAGGAATAATTTTGCTTGTATCTCAATAAATTCAAGCACTAAGACAAGGAACAGCTACGAGGATATTTTAAATAAATTCAAGCACTAAAATTCAGGAATTTGAGCATTAATTGAAGGAATAAATTATCAGAATTTTTCGATAAATTTAAGAACTGTAAATAATTTTAATTTTATAAATTTTTTAAAAAATTACCGGCTTTTATATACATTTATAGCGTTAAGGACTAATTGAACAAGTAATTTTAATTATGTCGTCTCAGTTTAATTTACATTAAGGAAATTTAAGGAATAGTTTTAAACTAATTTAAGTATTAAATTCAGAAATTTAAGCACCGCTTTAAGGAATAATTTTGCTTGTATCTCAATAAATTCAAGCACTAAGACAAGGAACAGCTACGAGGATATTTTAAATAAATTCAAGCACTAAAATTCAGGAATTTGAGCATTAATTGAAGGAATAAATTATCAGAATTTTTCGATAAATTTAAGAACTAAGTTCTAGAATAATTTCGAACATACTTAAATAAATTGAAGCGTTAAGTTCAGGAATTTAAGCAATAATCTTTAATAAATTTGAGTACTAAATTTAGGGATTGAAGCACGAATTTAAGAGATAACGTTGAACTTATTTTAATCAAAACCATTCCTGCACTTAAAATTTATTATCTAGAATATTTAATTTATTCCTTTACGAATTTACACGATTAAAATGAAATTATTTTACGAATATTGCTTCAAAAAGGAAAATATATATATATTTATATCCACTCCTATGCGAATAACTGAATGAATTGATAAAGATCATTTGCATATTTATAGCCTTAGTGACTTCGAAAATCTAGAAGGAGTTTATCAGAATCATTATTCAACGACTAGCAAACGAGGAGGGAACGTAACTCACTTCTAGGTGATGGGGATTAATTAAGATAAGGTCTATGACATCGTTTAGAAAACGATTGATAAAGCAAGGAAACTACAGAAGGAAAATTGAAGACATGGAATGCTTACAGGCTCGAAACTGGGAGCTATTTGTGTGAAAATGTCAAGGATAGAAATGGAGATCTTTGGAATTTCTGAAACATTCTATTGTGGTAACCATGACTTTCACATTGATGATAACGATATAATGCCAACCTCTATTAGAATAACATTATAAAGAAATTCATTTCCATTTTTTTATTCAAAATTGAATAATGATGTAATCTTTCGGAAAATATCTTTCGTTATTTATAATAAAAGATTTCTCACATTCTCTAAATTAATCAAATTATAAACATTACGATCCTTTTAAGTGCTTTAAAGAATACTTTTTTGGATATTAATTTAAGGAATAATCTTAACCATGCAACTAAGCATACGTCACGATTATTCCTTGAGGAATAATCTTATCATTTCTTTACCATTTCTTTCGAAATTCCTTAAGGAATAATAATTAAAGTGTAAAATTCTTAGGTCATGCTTGAGATTAACTCTCAAAATAGTGGTTAGAAATTGACGTATTTCCTATTAATTTCTAAGCACTATTTTGAGAGATAATTGTAAGCATCACCTAATACTTTTAGGCTTTAATTTAAGGAATCGTAATAATTTTTAAGCATTGATTTAGGGAAAGATTTTGAAGCAGGCCCTAAAAACTTTAGTCTACACTTTAAGGAATAATCTTAAGCATACTCTAAAATTATTAAGCATTAATTTAGGGATATCTAAAGCATACGATAATAACTTTTAAGCACTGATTAAAGGGGTTATTTTGAAAGAAATCCTTAATAATTGAAAATAATCCACGAATAATGCTTTAAAATTTCGAAATATATGAAGTTTATAGTTCCAGAAAGTGTAATTTTCTTAAGTTGTGTACTTGTAAATTTTTATCAATTTATACAGAAAAAATAGGAAACATTATCAGTGAAAATGCTAATGATATTAACTATATTGAGCCATTTAAATGCATGTGTTTTGATAGAAAAAAATAATAAAAATAATGTAGGGTATAGAATGACAATTGAGTTTAGATGTACTTAACGATAAAGAAAATTTACTGATTGAATTTTGCGATAATAACGATCTGTTTACACTTAAAATAATAGAAAATCCAACCTTTTTTCCTCTTATCTAAATAGTAAATACTCTCACGTTCTGCGTACTGATGAAAATTCCAATTCTTCTTACAAAAAACACTCCAAATTTCCAGTACGGTTAATGATTACAGCGAAATGTTTGATTTACATACAGGGAAGTCCAAAAGTCAGTTAACATTTGTAATGAATCATGTTCTGCTTTATTTTGAAATAATTATGTCATGATTTTTACAAAATTTCGGCACTATTCTTCCGAAAATTTATTTTAGTTTTAATGTAATTCAATTACATCAAAATTAATACAATTCTGTAGTAATTTATTGTAATTGTATCGAAGTTCTGTATCTATATTGTACAGTTGTATACCGAAATTGGTAAAATTCTGTACTGATTTTGTAAATGAAGAAGAAAACAGTTCTACGCTCAGTTTATGAATTCACATACACTAATATACTCTAGAATAAAGAAAAAGAAAAGATGGTTAACTGACTTTTGAGTCCTCTTGTGTATTTTTGTTTAAAAAAGAGACACATAAACGAAGGAAAATAAAAGTTGTAAAATGTAAAATGTCACTTTAAACACAATTACATATAGTACTGTGGAAAAAGGAAGTTATTTTAAACCCTCTGAATTACGTAAGAGTTTATAATTTAAACGCTAAACTGAAGTATTTTTGTGAATAAATTCTCAATTATGATATTAAAAAATTCAGCAATAAATTGCTTAACTTTCCCGGTAAGAGTTAAAATTTTGTGTGGCGCCATTTATTATTATATTTTCATTTAAAAATACTTTTTATATTGTTAATTGTTATAAAATGGCAAAAAGTTTAATTTTGTGGGTATAGATAAATTTTTTTTGA